TGAACCCCTACTATGTAACTAGTGTCAAGTTAAGAATTATCTGCCAGTTACCCTGTAAGGAAATATATCAATTACTGTAATGAAAGCATGACTTATCACCATTTTTACTTGGTTCAGAGAAATGGAGCTTCATGTGGTGTTTACAATTTATGCTCTGTCATATAAATGTTTGGCAACACCAACTCTCTGAAACTAGCTGATCTTAACTGTATGATTTTGCTGGTTGTCTAATGGGCCTTGCATAAAGATCCTTTAAGGGGGGGGAAAAAACAGTGCTTACCTTCCATAAAACAGAACAACCAGCAAATCTGTCCTTCCTTAATAACTTCCAATATGGGATAATTTCCGATTCTAATCATGTGCCATTTTTTTTATTTTTCTGTAGAGGGATTTTAAGCTTTTAGTAAGCTTTAAATTGTGAAAAAATGTTACATATTGCTTAGTTCAGGCTTGTTGTGAAATTAAAAATACCAGCAATGATATATTAGAGAATACCTTCAATACATCGTGTCTGATGTTAGCAAATGCAGCCAGTAACTGATCATTCAAAGGATTCTGGGGTAAAGATCTAAAGTGATCTAAAATCCATATTGAGGGGCATAAATTTCCCAAAGTATTAAAGTCTCAAAAAGTTCCACTAAACTCAGCACAGCTACTAAGCAAACAGCTCTGAAAATCAGCTAATTTAGTCACATGCCTAAATGTGGGCTTGGAAGCCAAACTGTAGATACCCATTTAAAAAAAATCTTGTCTAATGGACTTCATTTGCCTCTAGGATATTCTAATGAGAAGGATGAATTATGTACTCTCATATGAGAGCTGATTTCCTCCATGCTGGTTTTATTGTGCTTCATGATACTAGGCATGAAGTTGACTTTGCAGGTCCCCACTATAAAGAATCTCGCACTGAATCTCATGAGCTGCAGAGTCACTGACAGTAATGAAAAACATTTAGTGAAGCTCATGCATCAACCATGACTAAATCCATGTTTGGCAGACTTATTTTCAGCAAGTTCCATGGCAATGGTGCAGGAGAGAAGTTTACAAAACAAGCAAAACCAATATTCACAGGAAGGTTGCTAGCCAGGCCGGCTGCTCACTCACAACGACAATATTAAACTTATTTAGTTCTGTCAGTTGGAGGGTTACTTCCCTCATCCATTCTTATAGGGCAGGGGTAGGCTGTTGGCAATCCCAGTTTTAAGCACATGAACCCACTTCCAGTTATAAATTTTACTCTTCAATTGAATTTCAAATAGGATATAAACCTCATGTGCAAATGCTGTGACCCATTTGTGGTAAGTAGTGCCCTGTTTTGGAGATATTGCTATAGGTCAGCTTCCCTGGTTGAGCTTCATCTTCCCTGATTCTACGTATTATCTTCTGGCTGAGTGGTAGAGTGCACCGTAAGCCACAGAGCTTCTTCATATTTGTAGTTTTCTTGACCTATGTGATTGCTGTGACAAAATTTTGTAGCCTTATGTATGACTCAAACAGTTCAAGAATACAGAGCACAAAAGGACTTGGAGAAAATGACATATTCACTATTGGGTTTCTTTCTTTCTTTCTTTTTTCCAGCTTCTCTTTCAAGGAAGAAACCCAGGAATTATCTGGGAATATGCCATTCCTAAATTGGAGACTGAAAAAAAGGTTGCCCCAAAATCTAATTATACATGGGCCATCATCCGTTCTGAGTGCTCAGTGTCATGTGGTGAAGGTAATGTATTCCCAAATAAAATCATATTTACAATTAGTTGCACAGACTGTGACGCTTTCCTATTAAATGTTGGACAGCTTCTAAGTTAAGGGTAATTTATGAGGTTAGAAATTCAGCTTCAGTGTTTGATTTATAAATTCAGCTAAGCACAGAGGTGGAAAAAATTAAATTTTTCATTTCTTTTCCAAAAATAAGGAGGTCATTAAGTAACTTGATCAAACAGAACAACAAGTCTGGGTTGACTGGCATAATTTACAAAAAGAAAAATTATATTAGATTCTGGAAGAAACTTTCCAAAATTGTATCTTGGCGTTTTCTTCAGTATAAATTATGTCTGTAAGAAGTTTTGTTAGTTTTATCCATCATTCAAGTTGGTCTGTTTTTAACAGCCCTGGATATTTTAGTTTTATCAGAAGATGTTTTTGTTTAGATCAGCTTATACCACATGTCTAAAGGACATATTTACATTAGTATTTTACTTCCCAGGTACCAATATTTTAAGCTCTCAGAGAAGGAGAAATACAAAAACTATTGGGGGGGGGCGGAGAGGGAGGAGGGAAGGATGGGATGGGGTGGGGCTTCTTGCAGCAGTGAGCCGGATGAGCAGCCCTGCCCTGGAGCCACAGGCCGCATACAAAGTGTTCTTTATGGTGAACCTGCAATGGTGAACCCAGTAAAGTTATGAAGGGTTGGCAATTTGCAGGTCATGCCTGACTTGCTGACCTCTTCCCCTTTCCTCCCTCCACAGGTGGTGACAGCCTCTTGCCCTGTGATGGGTTTTATTGAACAATGCGCTGCAGGTTCACCATGGTGAATGCTCTGTATATGGTCCGTGGCCCTGGGATGGGACTGCTTGCCCTGCTCACTGCTGCAAGAAGCCTTGCCCTCCCCTCCTCCTCTCTGACCACTTCGGACCCCCTGCCCCTTGCCCTCTCCCTTCCCCAACACTGCTACAAGACTGCAGGGCTTCTCTGCTTGTTCATAAGTTTTTTGTGCAGCGAGCCCACCAAAAGCATGGAGCCCGCACTTTTTTGCAGAGCCCTCCCAATATCACGGTTTCCATAAAAATCGTGCAGCTGTGATTTTGGTAGGTCCCTAACAATAACCTTATCCAAGATGTACATTTCTTGGGTAGCCCCATTTTTCCTAGAACTTTGAATATGAAATCATGATCCACTGTATATACTTTTCCTAAATCTAGGTTTGCTATAACTATGTTTGTTATCCTGTCTTGGATGTGGGACAATGTATCTCTGATCACTTTGGAAATCTTTCTACATGGTAGTGCATATACTTGGTCTTCATCTTCTGGAGATTTTTCCTCATCCTCAAAGCTAGTGTCTTAGCCATTAGTTTATAGTCCATATTAAGAAATGTAATCAGTCTCCAGTTTCTCAGGAATTCCTTCTCCACTTCCTTGAAGAATAAGATCACAGTGCCTCTTGTAAAATCTTTCCCTACCTCTCCTGTTTCTGCTGCTTCCTCAGAAACTTCCACTATATCCCTTCCTACCCATGCCTAAAACTTCACATAAAATTCCTTATGTAGTCCATCTGCTCCTAGTGATTTCCCTCCTTTAAAGGTTTTTAAACACTTCTCCACTTCCTTTAAGCTTATCTTTGCTTCCATTGTCTTTGCTTCCTCCTCCTGTACTTTCTTTTCAATCTTTTCCAGCAAATCTTTCATTTTGTACCTATCTGTTTCTTTCTTCTGATATAGCACTTCATAAAAACTTGTTGCTTCTAACATCTCTTCCTGCTTTTCCACACAGGTACCACCTTCTTCCTGCACTGCTTTTAATTCTTCTTTTGCCATCTTCACTCTAGCCAAAAAGTATTGGCACCACTCTACCATTCTTTTTTCTCTCCGACCCAGGGTGCTTGTGCTAAAAACATTTTCACTCTCATCTTTCTTTTAAACCAGATTTCTGTTTTTTGCCATGTTTCTTCTAATTCTTCTTAGAATTACCTGTCTTCCTTCTGTGGCTTCCTTTAGAAGCTCCTGAATGTTTCTTATAGCTCCCTCGGCACTTTTGTTCTTTTCTGTGAAGTTCTTTGGCCTTCCTTCCTGAAGAATTCTCCTGTCCTCTTCTTCACCATCATCCACCATTCACTGTGTACTTTTAAAATATTTTTTCTGTTTTCTCCACCCCTCATACTCTCTTGTGTACACTTGACGTATCTCCTCATCTTGTAGCAGTTGCACATATAACTTCCTTACTCCTTTTCCCCTTACAAGGCTCTTGCCAAGACTCAGTTCCACCTTCAGCATCTAGTGATCGCTAAATGCTACACATATGGGTTCTTTCTTCCTTATATTTATTTCTTTTGATACAAACACAAAGTCAGTTCTCGACTGTTTCTTTCAACTGGGGTCACGTCTAGTGAGAGCTTTCTCTTCTGCCCACACACCTCTTAGTGACTTTGATTTTATTTGTTAATAATCTGGATGAACTGTCTCAAGTTCTGCCTTCTCCTTCCCCTGTTCTGTCACCTACTTCTGTTATACAATAAAAGTCCCCCACTATTATCTGCAGTCTCCCTCTGAACATTTAAACTGCTGGTTTTGTAAGCAGTGCCTGCCTCCCCTCCCACTCTGGTGGTGTGTATACATTGAAAACTTCTAAATCTGCTCCCCTAATTGATATTATCATTCACTGAAGTCTGCCACTGGTGATGTCTTCCACCTACTGTGCTTTCACCTCTGGATTCTTGCATAGTATTGCCACTCCAGCCACTTTATTCTCATTTGTCCCTGACCACCAAGACAGTCCCCATCTTCACCTCTTCTCAAAACATTTATAATCCCTCTCTCTCATTATACCACATTCTTGTAGTTAGATTATATCTGCCTTTACTTCATTTAACATTGGTTTGAGGTGTTCCCATCTTTTCCTTGTTAAGATACTTCTGATATTAATTAAAGCTATAATCAGTGCAATTCTGCTTATGTTAAACTGAGTATGCCTGTTCCTTTTAAGTATCGTCTGTGCCACAGAACATCATGGTTGACTCTGCCCCTCCTCCTTCCTCCCCCACCTTTCACATGCCTGTCGCTTTTGCAAGCTGCCTGATCACTTTTGTAGCTAGGAAGCCTCCTGTTTTTACACCTCCCTGCTGCTTCCTCCTCTCCACTCAGGGCTGGAGCCCAAGGGAGTTAATAGGAGGAAGCTGCTCTCCAGTTCTGACTCTGACTTGCCTCCCTCTTTACCAGGTTTCTTTTTCCTGGCTTTCTATCCCTGCACTTTCTTCTTTTTCACTGCCTGTCTCTCTGGCTCTTTTCCTTGTTCCACCTTCACTTCTGTTGTCTGCTTGGTTTCTTCCTTCTTCCTCTCCCCCAGCTCCATGTCATTTGATCTTTTGTTTGGTGTTTCTTCCTCCCCTTCCATTTTGTCTTGAGTTCTGTCTCATGCAACCTCTATTACAGAGATTCCACTTTCCTCCACTTCTGTTTCTCCCCCCCTTGAAGAATCTCCTCTACAATTTCTGTCTCAGCCTCTCCCCCTTCTTCTTCCTCACTGTCCCTTTCTGATCCTTGTGGGTCCTATGACCATGGTTACAAAAGCTGTTGGGCACCTATGATACAAGTATTCCTCCCCCCAACAAACAGTGCATTTTATGAGCTCCTGACACACTGCTACTTTGTGCCCCATCACTTCACAACTGTAACACACTGTAAGGGGACAGTGTGCAGCCAGGTGCCCTTCCTTTCCACATCTGCTACACTGCTTTGGTTGCCTATGGTATATTATAAAACCCCGATCTGGCCTTATCTGGACCACCAATGGGAGGTGGTCCAGATGGGATCTGGACCACCATGCCACCCGAGCTCTGCTCATTTGGTTTTAACAGTTTGAGCCCTCCAAGACCCAATCCAAATACCATATTTGTCCCTCATTTTCTCTACCCACAGAACTCTTTGCAAATCTTGTTCCAGATACCTTTCTGTTTTTCACCTCTAATATATCCATATACATTTGGACAATCATCATTCTTTCCCTTGACTGTTCTGCTGCTACAAACTTTAACTCTTTTAATTTCTCCCTCCCTGCCTTCCTCTACATATTTCTTCCAACATTTGTCATACCCTTCTTTGTTCCAATAAGTCAGTTGCCTTGTCTTTCAGTTGAAGAAAGCAGTCATGCTGATGACGTGTTCTGCCTGCATCCCCAATACCTCAAACAGGACCTTCTCTACAAAATCATGTCTGTTTGTTCATCATCAGTGTCTTCTGTACCCCATCACCAGTTAATGTTGACCTCATCATAGTCTCCATTCTTGACCAGCATCCTGCAATGTCTCTTCGGGAACTTCCTGCTATGCTATTCCTGGTGGGCTGAACTTTTGTTGGCTCCCGATGATCCTTCTTCAGCTGCTCCCACACTGTCTCATTCTCCTCTGTGTCTGTCCTCCCTCTGGCCTCGTCTCTCTCCTTGCCACCCTCTTTGCTGCTGCCTCTGTTGCTATCTCTGTTGTTGCTTCTGCCTTCATCTTCACTTTCTGCTTTTCTATGGGCTTTTCTACCTTTTATCTACTCTCCCTTTGTCTCCAGACCTTTGTTTCCGCTCTTCATTTCTTTTTCCACCTTCTGGTTATCAGCCACCACTATCATTATTTTGGGTTTTGGGTTTCCCTCCTCCACTCCTGCCATGCTGATGCTCCATTGATCTCTTTCTCTGCCCTTAAGGCATTCACCAGACTCTCACCTGATCACTTGATCTTGGCCATCAGCACTGAATCTTTTTTATGTCATGTTAAGCCACTATGTTGACTACATTTCAACTTCCTCTTCACTCCCATAGCTGAGGAGCACCTTTTTTCCCATTTCCATTTATTCCTGTTTCTTCACTAGTTTTAAATGTGTAGCGAACATCACCAAACATCAGTGTAGATGAGAAGCTGTGTTACTCCCTCTTTTGCCCTGTTGTACGTGATTGGTGTGGTCCCACCCTCCATGAGGTGGGACCAGACCAGGCAGCCTCACACCATACATTTTTGGAA